CAGTTTTGCTTTAATTTTTGCTCACTGTTTGCATAAAAAGCAAATTATACCAGACCATAGATGATAGACCCTCATCCAGTGCTCTCATCAGTTTACTTCTCTAACAAGCAAGGAGGGGGGGGGGGTACATAACAGTTCATTTTTCATAATTATGAGGACAGAGCAGATGATGAGAGATGCAAGTATAAAACACCATTCACAAGGCTAGATGTTAACATAGCACAGTATTTCTGGCAATAAAACGCTCCAACTGACCAACTGACCATTTCACACGAACTTTTATCGCTGGATAATTTTGCGATTTTTCATCTAATTCAATCATATATATGCTCAAAATCTCCGCGGTAAGTTTCTCTTTACCATAAAATTTGACCGAATAAGTTTCGAAACAATGCGACGGCAAAAAATGCAAAAATCCTGATTTTCGTAATAGAATCTATAGTCTTTTTGCCCTGTTGTACCGCCATCTTGGATTTGTCATGTAGGCCCCACCTGCGCTAGGTATGCGTTAGCAATCTAGATCTCCTATATCTATGGTCTCAACCAGGGTATTCGGGAAGTCAAACGCGATCTGGAGTATGTTATTTTCTGAAAATTTCTGTGACGTCAAAATACGTCATAACTGATAATCCGTACATGCATGCAAAATTGAGTTCTCGTTCGGCCATAACTCGGCCAAAGAGACTGTAATCGCAATACTTCATGTTAAGAATAGTGTGCTGCCTTCGGCAGCAATAAACTAGATGTTTCTGGAAATTTCTTCGATATTTCGATTGAAAATTAAGTGAAACTTACTATATCCTTAAACTTCGGTTATCCAACTGACAGGCAGTTGGGCGAGATACTAATTTTATGGCTGAGTGTGCAGGTCAAACACGTATACGCTGATGCTAATCTATCTTGATTTATATACAGAAATATCAGGTCGATAAAACGGCAAAGAACTGTAGGCCGTTGTTAAAACCAATCCAGGATAATCTATTCTCTTTGCCAACACAGGCCAGATTGGAAATTGTTGTGGGCAAAACACCTCGTCCAGGATCAATAGAAGCGCCGTTTGCTTTGAATTTGTGCTTCATAGCTAGCCGCGTCAGGATGTGCCCTAAATTTGTGATGTAATGCGAATTTTATATGATTTAAAAAGAAATACTCTGAAAGCAAAGTGAACTTGTTTTATTGTGATTGATAAGTATTCATGAAAAAGTTGATATTTGAATAAATTCGTAAATCATTAGTAAACTATAATCATTTCGAAAATTATTCTGTTGTATTTTTTCGACATTTGACCTTGTCTGCTAGGCTTGCTTTGTTTACATAATAGGCATTTTGCTAGGGGGCTGTTGCATTTCATATGATTCGCCCATTTCTCAATTTCTGGGCTATGACATGTCTTTTACCATGCTCTTTATCTTAAAGACTTCACGGTTTTGATTCCTAAATCATAAATATCTACTCCTTAAACTTGTTTAATTTAATTTTAGCCAAAATTCCAGAACCAGGACTACCCCTATAGCAGGGCATTTGACATCCTCGTACCCAGGGTCTTTTTGGAAAGTCCCTGCGACGGAGGTTGGGCATTTGACTGTGGTTTCTTCCTGTTCGGGCGGGCATTTGACCAATTATTTTTTCAAAAGTCAAATTCCCCGGGGGTTGCCCGGGGGGGGGGGGCTGATCGCGGTTGGATTTGACTCGTACATAAAATATTAATCAAGAATATTAAACTTGGCCAGTTTCTTTGACTTTGCTTGAATACTTTTCTTTCAAACTGCAAAAAGGCAGTATACTTCATGACGTGCATCCAACACCAGGGGCCGGTTGTATAAAAACGTAGTTAGCGCTAACTGTAGTTAGCGTTAATCACTGTAGTTAAATCCTTAACTGTAATTAGTTAACTACACGACTTAACTGCGTTGCACAAAACGTAGTTAGTCGGATAGTTAACTAATCACGCAGTTAACTGTGCGTGGGGCGTTTAAACACAAAATTACATAAAGTAAGCAGCGAGTAACGACCGCTGACACACATTTTCAACATGATTGTGGACTCGTATTTTGCAAATAGGCGGGAATTTTATTCAAAACACTAGAAAACAGTGAAAAATAAACAAAAAACAAGGATCCGACCGCCACAAAAATCATAAAAGAATGCAGTTTTCCTTGAGATGTCTACGTTAACTACTAAAGTATAGCTGTTTGGCAATTATATATCAGTGTTTCTTGGTGTAATGGACCATACTTCGTCTTCGAGAAATCGTCCTGTGCAAAAATATGTTCTGTTTTCGTAAAAACACCAAAGCGATAGCGTTTGAAGAGTTTATATTGTCAGGAAACATTCACAGGGAAGATAGCGATTGAAAATCTCAGGTAAACGTTGCTTTTCATTATTGTTTAACTGAAAAATGTTGTTCACTCCTATACAAACGCCATTTTTAACTACATTTTGGACAGTTAACTATACCCTAAAGTATAGTTAACTTTAACTACTTTTTAACTGCAGTTAAGGCTAACTACACTTTTATACAACCGGCTTAACTACGTGATTAAAGTTAACTACTTTTTAACTACTTTTTAACTGCAGTTAGCGCTAACTACGTTTTTATACAACCGGCCCCAGACATATATTTTTAACCATTTGAAATAAATCGTTATTTTTTTTAAATGTTCAATGAACTTGAGTTCTCTCATGACCATGCAGCAGCCAGCAGACTTTCTAATTTCGAGAGGCTGGTCTCCTGAGGAAAGTCACCAGCTAAGGGTGTCAACCGTCAAGTTCCAAAGTTCATTCCGAATAGTTTTGCTGTTTTGAAATTTAAAAAAAAGTCTGCTCTGTTCGCTAGTCGTTCCGAGCAGGATATTGCTCAGCTATTGCAAGACAAAGATAGTAAATCAACAAAAACAAGTACAAAGCTGGCAATTGACCTACTAAAACAGTTTTGTGAGGCGAAAGGACTTGCTTTCGAAGAACAATGCCTTGAAAAGTCCAAGTTAGATGGTTTTCTAAAGTACCCGTCGGGAAAAATACGCTCGGGACACTCATGAAAAAACTTTCAAAATCTGTTAGAATATACTATAATATAATTATCTATGGAATATACAAACCATTGCATCAGAGCGACAGCTGTAACCGTGTTAGATCAAAATAACTTCGAAGCAAGACATATTATGAGAGTGTCGGGACACAAATCCGAAGCGAGCATCAGGTCATACTCTCGACGCCTGTCCGAAGAGAAGCAACGAGACATATCAAATTCTTTGAGCCATTATTGTGGTTTTCCGTCTCTGCTATGAGTGATATTCGTTCGGTGCCAAATCCCGAGAGTGAACCCCCAGCCAAAGTTCCTCGATTAGTTACCGAGAGTTCTTCGTCATTCATTGAAATCTCTTCGCAGGAATACCGGTCAGCACTTGATACAGTTTTACACTCCCCGTTGCCGTGTTCGTCTCTTCCCGGTTCGCCTGTTCTGAACAGCTACTCGCAGAAAAACACTACGAAAAACGAGACTGTTTCATTCCAGCCGGGAGCATTTAAGAGCGACTGTCTACAAAAATCAAACAAAATGAGAAATATGTGGCAAGGCTCAAAATTTTAAATTCGCTCTACTTTTGAATATAAGTTGACTATGGTGAAGTGAGAAACGTTATGTGGTTAGTTTTTAAAAATACTCTTTTGTTTATGAAAAAAGGCAAAAAAATGTTTCAGCTGTGAGGACCGATTTTCGCCATCGAAAATGGCCGAAATTGCGTATGTTTACTTAATCCTGGTATCCAAACCCTAAATCCAAATAGCCTTATTATACTTTCTGTTTTAGCTACATCACTCCCTCGTTTATTAATAGTGGTTTTATGATAATTGAACAACTGAACACATTTGTGCACAATAAAGAGCGACGGGTACTGATTTTTAATGTTTGTCATTGCATGTAAAAAGTGGCAGATTTCTCCATTTGCCATCCTTTCAAATCTTATGGGATTTTGCACAAGCACTATTGGGAAACTGCCCTTTTCAGAAATGTATTATTTATTTTGGGCAAATAAATTCACACGCTTTGAGAAAGAGTTAAATTTGGTTCATTAAATATGCAAAATCACTGTTTCGCGATTGCGTGACTAAACACCCCTTGCAATCTGAAACTCACTTAAAACATCATTGTTCTTCACCTTTAGTTTAGAGAATTTGAAGAAAACATAAATATACATACCTTGAATGCAAAAAGTTCCTTTGAGCTGTTCCACTTTTGGAGTTATCCCTAACTTAACTACATATTAAACTCAAAGTTCAAGGAG